AACAGAGAAAAAAAACTCGTAACTACACACAGACGACAACGATGACAGCACGGCAGTCATTTTAGAAGCATTCGGCAGGCACAGCGCTGATGCTTTCCGAATGCCGGTTCGTCCTGTGCGTCTGTAGGCGCACATAGAAATTCCAGACAGAATCCGGACGAACCGACAGTGTCAATGTCGAGAACGGGGTCAGCGACAAACAAATCAAAACGAGACAGAAAATCGCATTGAAACACGTCTTGTCGGTCCCAATAGATTCGGCTTTCTGTGAGTGCCGAACACGCTTGATTCATTGCTTCCCTCGGGAGGGGATAGCTCAAAAAAGTGCAGGATGAATGTGTGTGGTGATGCCTGCTTCCAGAGAAACGGAAACCCACAATGGATCGTTTCTCACGCGCTTTACTAGTTGCCTCAGACGTTCCTCCAAGCAAGAACCCGACCTCCGTCCCTGGACTTCCCCTCTGTCTAGGCTTGGGCGACCTGGCAGTATCCCAGCCCTCGGGTGGCATGGCTGGGAACGGGTCGGGCTTTCTCATGGGGACATTCGTTTGAGTGCTTCAAAGAGTGCCTTGCATGACCTCGCCACAACCCATATCTTGTGCATATCTAAATTACAGTCCACGGATCATATCATGTGTGTTTCACCCAATCGTTCCAACCCAGGTTTTCGTTCACTTTCTCGTCGACAGGAAACCTAACCAGTACTGCGTGAAGCAAAGTTTATTCATCTACGAGACCGGATTCATTGATTTTCCGAAATGGTGAATGAGCGCTCCAGTTGAATATCTGTGATTTTTCGATAGTTGAGCGATCAAGGCACGAAACTACTCCCCAGAATGTTCTTGTTCGAAACCAACCCCGGGGCTTTCGAATGCTTACCTCCAGGCTGGAGTAACCTGACCAAACAACAAGTCCTCATGCCTCATTTGGGTCGCACAGTGGCTGCGCACCGAAAGGGTGACACAGTTGAATCAGTCTTATCAATATTGTCACTATGGGGGCGAGATGGCTCGGGTGGTTAGAGCACGAATTTACTGACCGGAATGTCCGTGGTTCGAATCCGATCTCCGCCTTTCAACTTCCCCTGTCTAGGCTTGGGCAACCTGGCAGTATCCCAGCCCTCGTGCAACCTTCGAGTAGCATGACAACTAAGCACCTGAAGGGTGTTACACCTGAACGGTCCAACAATCTTATGGATCCATATTGTTGTTCCTGAGCAGTTGTTCACTGCGAGATGAATAACCACTGATCCATTTCTGGGAGCACATTACCTTACCTGAATTCTGTGAGATATCGCCATTTAGCACTTTGCTTCTGTAAAACCAATAACTATTTTCGAATGGTCAGACAACGTGCGCTTACGTAAGCAAATCCGACAGAAGAACACGATTCCAATCCGTCCGAACGGAGGAGGACCGACAGCCCCGATCGATAAACAGGTGTCAAAGTTTTCTACACCCCCCAATACATCCGTTCGTTCCCACACAATGAGAACCAATCCGGTTATGGACTGTTCAAGGTCATAGAGAAATGCACGAGATGAACCGTTTCACAAGTGATGTTCACTCGTGACCAGGATATGCCAGGAAGGTCAGGTTTCTGAAAATAATCTCAGAATGTCCGAAACCTACTGAGACACTCGAACCCAGAAAAAATCGCCGTCAACCAACCGGGCCAGCAAATCCAGCCTCTGATTGGACGCTCAAGCAGTCACTCATTTCACCGCCGACCGACGATGATTAGTGTTCAGGCATGCTACGCACTCACGACCGACGATGATGAGTGATCAATAAACGCCGATTGGACAGTCTAAATACCGCCCCCTGGCAATTTTTGCACTTGCCTGTTTGTAAAGTTGTTGTTCCTTGTTGACGAGTTCTTCCGACACTAAGGTAGTGGAGCGGGAACAACAGGATATCGTTATGAAGTGGTTTGAATTACGTGTAGAACCACTTTATTCATCCGTGTTAATTTTTTGGCGAATAACCGGGGCCACGAACGAACTCACGTCCACCGGATTGGGTTTAAATCTGGTCTTACTCCGACGGTCCACGACCCGTTTCGCCCTTCTTGGGGCTCATCAGGTAGGCGCAGTCCCCGATTAGAGTAGTAGACGTTATCCCTTCGTGGTAGAGAAGCAATTTTTGGGACGTTAAATCACTGGGGGATCAATTTTGTCTGTAACTGATTTGGTATTTGTGACGCCGAATGACCGCATTAAGCCTACCAACACGTGCAGGTCAGATATCAAATGTTTCCGTGCACCACATCCCGAGGAATAACTGAGGAAACCGACGAGGTCCGATCATGCGTGAGCCCGCGAATGTTGAAGATCCACTGAGGCTATATCTCACCGACACGGTCTGAGAAGTTCGAGCCAGTGCGAGAAGAGCTTCGGACCGCTGCATTCAATCTAGGCCCCTATTGAATGGATCAACATCTACAGAACTGGACTCAACGGGACAGTATTTTTTCCCAGGAGACGTTGCAAGTAACTCGCGCACTTTTGAGTCCAGTTCAGAAAAGAATGGAAGATAAATCACTGACTCTTACGAACCAGGGCTACGGTACACTGTATCCACAGTTATATTAATGCTATGTAATATGGGGGGCCGTTCAACGGAGATTTCGTCCTGAAAGTGAAGCGAATCTATGCTCAAAATCATGAAAGTACTGTTCAGTTGATTCAGGTCCATTGGAAACCATGACCAGAATGCGTCTCACGAGACTCAAGGGAGTCTCAATCCCGCGAACTCCCAACCGCTCGGTCACGAGCGGCTAATCAGATCACATCGCCACGTATCGTTCAATCACATGCTGACTGATCCCTCGGGTGAGCACTACTCAGAAGGGAGCTTCACTGGTTGTGTAAATTATTGATCCTTCTAAGTCACATGATGTCTGGAGCGGAATAATCGAGTGTTTAGCCTACCCAGCGGCGATGTGAACACAGCTCTCCCCCCGACGGGACTTGAGTTCAATTGATTTATGTGAATAATGAGGCATCAACGGACTGATGGATACCAGTGGTTTGGCCAGGGCTTGCCAGCTAGCATTAAACACAAATCACTGGAAACTTCAGTGTGTCCAGACTACTATCGCCTCGAGAACCGACGTACTCTTGGTCGATAAACTGAAACGAATTCACGCCAGAAGACACTGCGAAGCAGTCAATCCACACGTCTTGGAACTATGGAGAACAATTCGAACCAATAAGACTTTTGGAGAAAAGCTATCGAGAGTAACTAATGGTTTAGTCGATGTAGCTTGGTCCGAATACCCATCCGGCAACTCCATTGCGACTATGCTTCGCGTTTCAGGTGGTATGAATTCCACTCAGTGAGACTCGTTCGCCTGTCGCCGGCCAGATGAGCAGCTTCACAGCATACTGCCTGAAAACTGCACGTCAAGGAATTTACTACTGCTGAATTTAAGCTTTTTGTGTTTCCCTGCTTCCCAGCCTACTGACAAACCAGTAATAAAGGCTGCACCCACGGAGCCACGTGTAATGCTAGGTTAGGTTAGGCTCTGTAATGACAGTAAGATCTTTCGAAGTTCCGTATTTTTGAGAACTAACCCCTCCAGGAGATCCGCTGGGACGATTAGGCATGGGAATCCTCGATTTCTGCGGCTACATGGCAGTGCTGTCGATGTCGACACCCGGACAATGGTCTGGTCATTAGGCCACGATTTTGTCTACTTAACTAGGGCACCTTCAGCTCGATCATCGGGCATTCATGGCGGAGGTAAGTAGTCACGTAGGATACGTCATAGTCCCGATTTAATACGGCTGGTTGTTTAGTCGTACCATCAACTCAGCGGTAACATGCAAATTGGCTTCCAGAAATTGGATCGTATGTGATGTGGGCTGCATTGTTAGTGATGAACGTGCCTGGTCGCATCGCGACGCCGTGATCGAATTGATCCCTTCATGGGTGAAGTAGAGAAGCAACCGTGCAAATGAACTTCACTGTCATCATCATCATCGACAGCATGACAGCAGTGTTCAACACCGATGCTTCACTGCCATACAACCATGACTTATTTCAAAGCCTTATTGTGAAGAAAAGAATAAAGGTGGATGGGGGGACCTAGTGCTAGCTTAACACAATCATTCCGAGGTGCCTACACCTCCAGACATTCACTCAGGCAATCTGGACAGAAACTGACAGCAAGAAAGCTACTGACATCGGTTGGCAGCCATATCTTGTAGTGTCTCCAACCAGGCACAGTGAGGATCATGCGGTCCCCATCCTGGAAGGCGAGTAGCACCGACAGCACTCAAGTGTTTCGTGATCTCCTTCATACTCCTCTGCCAGGTCATGGGTTGGCCACCTCTCTGTTTACGCCACTCCGAATTGGGCATGGAAAACAGTACTCTCTTCGGCAAACGATGGTTCGGCATACGCTACACTTGTTCCAACCAACGCAGCTTCTGGTGCTGAACACATTCTTCAATGGAAGTACCCGTTGCACAACGGAAAACGCGCTTTCTAACTGCCTCGTTACGGATTCGCCGACACCAACCCACGCGAGTTATGGATCTAAGACAACGATTGTCGAACACCTGAAGACGTCTCAGGTCCGCTGCTAGAATAGGCCGAGTCTCAGCCATACAACAAAACAGCCCGTACTGTAGCTTGATACAGACACTTCACTGCTTAAACCTGGAGATATGGCTGAGGTGAATGGAGGAATGTGATTCTGTACAATGCAGACAAGCCTTATTTGTTCCAGTTTGGCCCTCAAAATGTCGTAAAACCACCGAGAACAGGAGAAACGCCGCCAATACCGTTGAGTACGCTAGGTCTAACTACAACAAACTGATATCTGCAATTCCTCTTTGGACTAAAGGTGCGAAACACGCCCAGTTTAGCGGACAAACCAGCGACCAGCTCTGAAACGATAAGCCACACCATGCAAGTCCAACTAGCCGCTCCCAAACCGAGGCTGACCAAGGAATCAGATGGGAAGTAATCAACTGATTTAATTGATTATACTGTGCGTGTGTCGCAAGCGAATAACTACCGAACAAATAAGTGGGTGGGCAGTGGTAAAATGTTGCGCGGTTGAGCTAGCTAGCCGTAGAACACAACACCTCCACCATCACCGATCGATCGATAGTAGGTACGCGGAGGTCATGAAGTGACCGACCGACCGTGTGTGATAGCTAAAAGAACAACTGGAAAGTGACTGAACGATGGAGCGGGGCATAGTGGGGTTTGGGCGCAGCAGCTGTCAGGCGTTGAAGGGAAAACGGAATGGATGTGGTGGTGTGGAACAGTGAACGGGGGAAGGTGAGCGAAACGAATGTAGAATCCTATGGACAAGTGTGGTAGCCGAATCACAAACGTTGGCCGCAACGGAGGGAGACACCAGGGGCTGGGGGACGAACAATGATCAGGAATGTGAACTAGCGATGAGCTGAGAGGCAGATCTATCTCGAGCAAAATTACGCGATTCGGCATAACTGCAATGGACGCCTCGATGTGCGGTTGTCACACAACCGACCAAGGAAAAATTGAACGCCGTCGCCAGCTGCTGCGCGGGTACAAAGAATAAATTTCGCTCCATCAAACCCAAGCAGCAAGCGAGCAGACAGGCAACGGTAAAAGGGCAGTGTACATTCTTGAGCGAAGCATCATCATCATCAGCGGCGGTGTAGTAGAAATGGAGCAGGGTTCACAGGACTAGGGGGAGGTGTGAGGGGCCAAGTACCAATAAGCAACGAGAATGAATGTATCGAGGCAGAGCCAAAGTTAGATAGTCAATCACAGTGGAAATGTCACTTGTTTTTGTGGTTGAGGGTACACCAAGGTGAAAGCATCGTTCGTAGTCTGGTAAGACAGCCTCATTGGGACCCATGGGTACTCGTTTTAGTAGTAGAATGCGTCATGAAACGACAAAATGTTTCTCAAATAACAAGACTGTACAATGAAAGGAACAGGTAGATACATGGTGTTTGTGATAACAGGGGCACAGGAGCAAAAACGTTTTATGATGCCAACCATGAGAAGCAACTCTGTGCTCTAGCAACACAGATAAAGCGAAAAACGTCCCCACAAATATAACCGGATGTTTAGCACTCTCACCAAGCCGAGAAAGGGAGAGCGAGTTGGATTCACAGGCCATGTGAATTTGAAGTGGTAACTACGACCGCTGAAGTTTGAAGGCGGAAACGGATGAGTAAGGGAATCAAATCACAGATCCGAGTGGACAGGCAGACAGGAAGCTGTCTGAATGTTCCGTTGCCTACACATGATGAGACCGTACGCGTCTTGGTGTCCCGGACGGGACGAGGTTCTGAGACTCAGCGCCAAATTCCCGGCGAAAGAGGAGCCGTATTCAATACGGAATCCGGTGATACCATACATCCAGATGAGATGCTATGATGTTGGTCACCCAACCCCCCGACCCAGGCCAACTGGATCGACTGTTGTTGTTGTTGTTGGTGCGGCTGTTGATAGGCTATGTGGTCCGCCGCGGACTCGACGAAATACGTGGACGATGGGTGCCGGTAGTGATGGAGCGGAGTAGATCCGGGGGTCGTGTTGGACTGTTGCTGCTGTTGTTGTATCATATGGATGGCGGGGTGCAGCGAGCCGGTGAGCAACGAGGCGGCTGCGGCGGGAAGCGTCACAGCCACTGCCCGAGTGGATTGAAAGTGCTGAGGGACAGCGATTGAACTGATTGCCCCGGTAGCCTGAGAGAAGTGGAGTGCGGGTGGGATGGACGGGTGATGTTGCATATGTGGGGTGTGGTGATGCGGGTGATGTAGATGGTGATGGTGGGCTATCAGTGGGGAAAGCGGCTCAGTAAACTGGTTGTCCCCGGCAAGGGCGGCGGGGAGCGTTCGTTGGGCAAAAGCAGCAACAGCAGTGGACAAGTGGGTCGGATGACCTTGATGCTGTTGGTGTCGGAGCAAATCCAGGGTGTCCAGCGGACGAGAGATTGGTCCAAGTCCTCCTGAATGTCCCAAGGACGCAGCGGCATTGACCAACTGCGGATGTGCCTTATCAGAGTAGCCGGAGGACCAATTGGCCGGATGAACCAAGGCTGTGGAAGAGGAGAGAAAATTGGGCTTATTATGGTGGCACAAGAGTAGTTCGGATTGTTATTTTTCTCTCCCCGAAAGGTGCAAATTACGTGAAATATGTATGTACACCAAAGTTCTACGACGAAAAACTCTGACAGGGTCGGGTGTGCACAACATGGGGTTCCTAAAGGTGTTGTAGTGCTGCGCAGCTGATAAGGTGAGGAAGCTTAGTTCCTGTTTCAACGCCCGAATTGTTCGGGATACTGAGCTACCGTGAAGAGACCAATACTAGCCCCAAGATCAAAACACTTTGTGATTGCATGTCAAAATCCTCAAACCGTTTTTTATGTACTAGCAGTGAAAAGGGATTTGTACAATTTGCACTTTTATTTGAACCGTCCTCCTCGTTAACAGAAGTCCCTTTGAAGGTGAACCTTCCTGAAAGGGGAAAGGTCGAGACTGTTTGAAAACCAAGTTGACTTGCAAATGAGTGTAGTTCTCGAAAACAGTCGAATTTGGGTTCAAGTTGACGGAAACTGGGGGACTACGCCTACCTGATGAGCTCCAAGAAGGACGAAACCGGTCGTGGGCTGTCGAGGAGTTTTCACCAACCTTGTGAGTAGTTTCCTGCTTGAAAAGATCTCCGTTGTTGAATACAAGCCAGATCAACCAAATCCCTTGGCTGAAACAGTACTTTGGTCGTTCTACCGGTATGATAGCTTCAGAGAAATTCCGAGGACTACAAACTGTTTGTACGAAACCGGAAGGCGTTTAGGAGTCATCCATGGGCACTGAACTCCGCGTGGATGGACAGGTGCTGGAGAGTAAACAGCTCAGCTTAGAACCCGGAGTATTTTCGCTTGCGGGTTCAACCTTCGGTTTCGGGAGTGTTGTGTGTGACAGAGTGGGGCGAGGTGGACCAAGTGGTTAGAGCGCGAAATTACTGACCGGAAGGTCCGTGGTTCGAGCCCGACCTCTGCCGCATCTCGACTTCCCCTATCTAGGCTTGGGCAACTTGGCAGTATCCCAGCCCTCGTGCTTCCTTTGGGAGGCATGGCAGCTAGGTAACAAAAGAATGTTACAGCCCATAGCTCACGGAATGCGTACCCAATCAAACGGCAGCTTTGTGACACTTAGGAGCCCCACTCAGTTCAAGACAAAAAGAGAATCATTGATCCTCAAGCAATGGTGCGGGTCGAGCTATGCTTAGATATCGAGACCAGCTGCGCTACCGAATTGGGTCGACAGGGCTAAATTGCTTTTGTGACGTTCCCATTCGGTGGCGTGCGTTTCTGACGAGGCGCTGTTACACGGAACCCTGAAACAACCATACACCCAAGAACAGGGCCGGAAGATCTGCCGGAGCAAAGGACAGCCAATAAATGTTCTGCTTTAAGAAACATGTCATTGTGATTCGCTTTTGTCCCGACCCTCGTCAAATTACCACAAATTGGTAGAGTCTAGATCACCGAACGACAAATAGTCATACTGACATCGTCCAGTGCAACGCGCATGGCAGTCATACCTCAAAAGTTTAGGACGATCGACTGCTAACTCTACCAGTTCATACATCAAATTTGCGTCTCCCATCGGTACCCAGTGAACATGTCGCCGTCACCCTGGAGTGTGTGCTTCTGGAATGAATGTAAAGTTTTGGACCTGTGGAGTGCTACTCATGAGTAGTTCACTGTAACTTCGATTGCACTAAAGCCATCTATCTTCTCACTGCCCACTCACCACTCAATCTGTCTGCTCTGTGTTAAAAAACACAGAGCATATATATACGCGGAAGAAAGGGATCAGCTGTAGCACGCTTTCGGTGCCTAGCTGCCATGCCACCCGAAGGTTGCACGAGGGCTGGGATACTGCCAGGTTTCCCAAGCCTAGACAGGGGAAGTCGAGAGGTAGAGGTCGGGTTCGAACCATGGACCTTCCGGTCAGTAAATTCGCACTCTAACCACTTCGGCCATCTCTCCCCCAAATATATATTTAGGAGCACATAAGGTGATATCCACAAAACAGCTACCCTAAAAATATGAGGTTAATTAGTTGCAATTCTAGGAATACTAATTAAACTTAAATATCATGGTCTGCATGACTCATCTGGAATGGTGAAAAGTATGTGAGTGGTGCAGAACGACACTATAAAGTCCAAATAACTAACCAGGATTGCTATCACAATGTCCTGGGGGCGAAAGTTGACCCAGATGCGACGCGTTACTGATACGCTCTGGTGCACCACCGCCAAGTACCCCGGTTGGATTGGTTCGGCGAAAAAATCGATGCGCAAGCGCACTGGACGGTCGGATGCGTCGTTCAGGATCGAAGGTGAGCATGCGCAACACCAATTCCATAAAGACATTGTAATCAGACGGACTATGTCCGGGTTCATGTGCACGGCGACCTCGGGGACCACCGGTATTGACTCCCAGAATATCGGACAACCGCCGGCTTCCTGGAGGTTGGCAGGCAACCTGTGAACGGTGAACGCAAAAAAGGAGAGAAGGGAACCCCAGAAGTCAACAACTAATTGGTGAGCCAAAGACACAACAGTGCGTAAAAGGTAGCGTGTGCTCTTGGCTACACAGAACCAACCAATCAGTACATATGAACCGGTCTGATTGATAGCTTTTGGTTCGCTGAAGAAATTCCACGACATTGCACAGACCATCAAGCAATACAACGTACTGTATAACTGTTTTATCTTTGTCGAGTAAAACCCCGGTGAGTCAGAGATAGGGCAACGATCTCTAATATGGATGATGGACAGCAAAGAAGGCCCCCACAGCAGGGTATGGCTAAGCTGAAAACCAAAAGTGTACACGCTACTTAAAACATATAAGTAGCACGCTTGCAAATGAAAATGGGCGTCAGTCGCCTTCGCAATCCGGGGGGGGGGGAGCTTGGGACTGTGAAATGAAAAATCGCTACAAGGCTGGGCGGAAATTAAAAAGATGAAAGTAAGAGTTTCCCACGGACAGGTGACATGAAATCACAGAACGACCACAGTCGAATAGTTCCCACCGAAACTAAGGCGAATAAACTATTCCACTCCAGTTAGAAACCATCCACATACCTAAACCCATTCCGGTTGATAACTGGGGAATGATGGACGTCTTGAAAAATTATCTAGAAACGGAATACTTTGCAAGATGAGCCGTTGGGCTTTTTTTGGGAAATGGATGAGGCGCACTGTTCTTTCGAAACACGGTCCCGACTCTTCATCAAGTCATATCGAAATAGATCAGACGTTGAATGTGATGCTGGGGTGGTCGAACGGACGAGGACTGGTACGTAACGACCACGAAACAATAAAACAAGGTGGAAAAATGCTAAAGTCGCCCTTCCACAAGACAGTGAACAGTAGGAGACACGGCCTCGTCCAATGCCATTCACGATAAGGTTGGATCGAGGGGTCGTACCCAGCTCAAGAACAAATGTCGTAGAATGGTGGTCCGGATAACTACGTAAAATTCCCTGAGGTTTTAGACAATGTATGAATTCGGAGCCAGTCTTGAATTGGGTCACAGCGCAATCGGGCAGGATTCACCACACTGATTTCAAGGAAACCTCAGCAGCAGTGACCACCTGACAATGTCGATGAGACCTGAGTCCAAACATATCAGTGCCATGGTTTTTAGCGGAATATTCACAGCACAAAGCATCGGTTGCTCAGCTAACATCAGCTGGGTGCAAAATCGAGCGACTCAGCTCGATTCCTGGATCCTAGGTATCTCGATGGGGTGGTTGGGGCGTACCTGCGAACAACACTCATGTCGGTATCGGCTTAAAACATGCTTCCTAGCCGGGTCACCTAAACAACACGCGGTGAGGTCACTTGAACTCGGTTTGGCGTTGTGTCACGGCGTTGGCAGTAGGTCAAAGCTGAGAGAAAACTATCATCTTAACAGCCGTTGTATAAATTGTTTTTTACGTTCAAGTGGCAACAGTGTCTTCAAACAGTAGCGGTTACGACCACAGACAATCACCCCAAATACCGACGTCGTCGGATCGATGGCAAAGGAGACAAAGTGTGTGTGTGTGTGTGTTCAGAGAACAGTTGGCGATAAAGAGGTTGAGCTGGTAACTCAAATGTTAAAATTTAACAGAAGACAAGTACCGTCAAAGCTCGTTTCGCAATAAGTACACAAACAATTACAACCAGCCTCGTGGTTATACTGTTCATCCATGGAATGGTGTTGGTAGCTGACAAACTGATAGGATAGAATAAAGAACTAAACTCGCTGTATTGCTGGTCTGTGTTTCGATAAGAACGGAGAACGCACGGTTCCTGGTGAACGAGCTGACTGCTGAACTATGGAATCGAAGGTTAGCAAAGGAACTTGATGATGGGGTTGATGAATTGCCACTAGCTCCTCCATCCGACTAAATGGTGGTCCATTGTAAAACCGATGAAATCGTACTGTGTGTTCACATCTCCACAATCGCCTGGGCTACATTTCACGTGGTTGTCATACAACAGTGATGAGAAACGCTCTAGACAGATGAACCAACTGCACAGCATTCGCCGAACACAAACTACCAAAAGGTTTCGAAAAACATACAGAAACATAAGAATAAGTCAGGCGATCGAAAACTACTAGGTACCGGAAACGACTGACAGGTTTTGTTCGAAATACACAAACTACTTACAAAATACAGAGTAGTCTGCTGAAAAACAAAAACCGATGTTGTGCTGGTAATCGATCGGGAAGTTTGTCAGCGGTAGCATTCTCAGTAGTGATCTTTTTGTTGATGGTGAGTCTTGTTGATGGTGGTCTTATTCAGGTAAACAACTGGTAATTTATCCGCATTTTGATAATAATACTTATCTGTTGCTGGGAGGCCTTGAGTACGAGCCCAGCTATTAATAATTTGGGCAAAAACCGCCGATACTATTACCAATTAGTCGATACATGTGTTTGAACATCGGTGTCTCTGAAGCATTGGTCAGGCCTGGTGAGAACATCGGATTGATAATGCTGAGGTACGCCAGATGGTCTTAGGAGGAAGGAATTCCCCCGCGGTAGGAGAATTACTCACGCTTCACAGGTTGCACTGGTTGGGTCATGTACTCCGCATGCCAAAAGGCCGTCTGCCTCAAAGAGCTCTTTTTGCCCAGCCCTCTGTTGAGCAGAAGTGACCGAGAGGTGAACAGTGTATGACCTGACAATGGACTACGAGAACACTAACCAAAAAAAACTTAGTCGGGTGGGCAACTGCGGCCTCCTTGCATAGGGACCCCGGGACATTGATAAAAATAGCCTAATCGCGCAGTCAGTGGCGCTCGTGCATCAAAGCTATCGTTTTCAATGCGTAGCTACCCGAACAAACTGAACATGCCTCCCAGGCTTGGTTACATATTCCACCTTCCCGTTTTCCGGTGATCGAAGCTGTAGCACCTGGAACCAAGGTGCCTATGGCTAATAAATTGAATTGAATCGAATTTCAAACGCCTTCCATGCAAACACCAAAGTATCCGAGGGAAGAAAGGGTATACTGGAGGACCTATAGAGGAACGCCGGGCAGAAACTGCCACCTGTATATTGCTTCATTGTTTCTGTTCTAGATCGAAGGTACGACAGGATGAGCCCGGCCTATTACACCGGCACTGCGGACTAGCTACAAAGTAACACTCTGTTACGTGGACAGAAGGCAATGCCTAGATGTCAAGGCCTATGCCACGGGAAAAGGAGCTGATGAGTACTTGTGAAGGACAGGCGAGATTGCTTCGGGTAGCTTCTACCTGGATCGATCATTTGGACTTGCGGCCTTCGCCATGAGCGATGACAATAAGAGGACACTGGACTCATGTTTGGCTCCTCTCGGTGAACATTCATGGTCGACCTAGAATTTGGACTCTGTGAAGTAACGGGCACGGAAGTGCCAGCCACTCTTCTAAAGGAGGAAAGATAAATCTGAACTATTCTGTCAGAAAAGAAGCGCAGGTTTTCACCGAAGCCATTGTGTGTGATCTACCCGTGAAAACCCCTCATGCGGTTGCTTATGATTTGTAAGTAGTAGGGCGATTCACAGTACGCACAAAGACACAGCCTCGGCAGTTTTGTACAAGATAAAATCCAGAAGTTAAGCCTCGGAAACTCCCCATAGCATACTGACCCCCACGACGAGTTCGTCCGATTTTTTGTTAACATTCATGGCACAAAAATACGGAACTATGTGCGGACAAGCGCTTCGAAGCATTTCAGTCATGAACGACTATAGAACTCCATTGGCATAATTTCTTGTCTCTAAAACACAGTTTGTCTGGAACGAAACCGGTTAACATGCCAGCGACCAACAATGGCGGTCTACTTTGGCTTGGAAGCTGTTTTTGACTCTGTGGACTGTCAGGCAGGGGCTGAGGTGAAAGTGACCCCCCTATAAATTCTTTACCCCGTACGATAACGTCCGCGGACGTGTGAAGATCTATGGGAGGCTCTCGCTTGAATTCAATACATCAAGTGGTGTCAGGTAGGGCTGTCACCTTTCCTCTTCATCTTCGGCAGTGATATGATTACGGAACACTGACTGTCAGCCTGTAATGTCTGTGGGATCGAAATGCCCCTGGAGCAGTTGCAGACGACAGCTCTTCTTGCATCTGATGCTACTGTGACGTCTCACGGCTTCATATGCGTTTCACGCCCGCAAAGTGTAAAGTGCTACTGCAGGACTGGGTGGGCTCGAACCCTGACCTTATGCTTGCGGATGAGCCGCATTGGGAAGGCCAGAGCAGCTTTCAGGAGCCTGCATCACTTGTGACGAAGGCGTTGCACCAGCTTATCTGTCAAGGGTGGAGTTTAAAATGCTGCGATGCGCTCCGTATCGTATTGGCCTGAGCGTTGCGCGTTGAGGACGATGTCTTAGACGCATTACTCCAGACTGTTGGGGACACTGAATGAGCAATCCTGAAGTAGGTCGAAGTAACTCGCCCACGATAGATGAACTGACCACACTCCACAGGTTGCGCTTGCTTGGTGGCCACGTGCTTCATATGCTCCTCGAAGGGCTCTTTTCGCACAACCACGTGAAGGTTGGAAACAAGCCGAGAGAGGGCAAGCAATGACTTGGCAGCGAAGTATGGAAGCAACTACCACCAATCTCAGCCGTCTCCCTGGGTGGGAACGCCGAGACTAGACATATCAGTGGTTAGAGGGATCTTCAGACACGACCCGGTCAGGCCTTCGACGGTGCTCATGCATAGCTCTCCTCCCGATCACCTCGATGAAAGTCCACTGACACCATTAGATCAGCTACCGCCTCCGATGCGTGGCGATCTACCCACCTCCCCAAATCATCGGCAAACGAAACACCGGTAGCCAAAACCACTGTCAACCAACTACGCGGTTTGTTCGCAGCAACAGATGGGATGTGTCAACTTTCGTATAATTTGATGCACAGTGTTGGACGTGCTCAATTGCCACTTCAAATGAGCGAATGGCATTCGAATGAGGTCCACCCCCCTTGTTTGCGC